GGGATATGCAGCCGGCGCGATGCCTCCCGGGGCTCCAGTCACCCAGACTAGAAAGTGCATGGCACCCCTTGGCTTCATGCCGGCCGCGCACAGCTGGCACGACCTTGCAGCTGGGTTGGGCGGGCGCACTCACTTCTCCATGGCCTCCATGGTGTTCTCCAGCCTCTCTCCAGACCCTGTGTGGGGCAGCGCGGTGGGTCCCTGGGGCTGGGCCCTTCCTCTCCCCGGCCCCTGCCTCATCACCCCATCAGCCCAGGTGGGCAGCCCCCTTCCCTCCTTCCACATCCTGCCCTGTCACCTGCTCTCCTCCTGCCTCGGTCTGCCATCTTTCTAACATCTGGCCCCTTAGACCTACCCCTCTCTGCTGCCCACCTTGGCACGTGTCTTGCTCTCCCTATTCCACCCTCCGTAGCCTACAACCCCCCACCCCAAAGCTCACCTCCCCGGTGGGCCCCCAGGCGGGGCCGGAAGGCCGGAACCCCAGGCGTGTGCAGCAGGCGAGGCCGGCGCAGGAAGAAGATGGAGAGCACGGCATAGCTGCCCAGGGCGGGCAGGGCATAGTACAGCACAGAGCTCATGGCCACGGCCTCCCGGGCTCCGGCTGCCGCCAGCTCAGCTGTCGCCGGTGAACTGTGTCGCCTTGCCGATTGCCTGGCTGATGTCGGCTGATTCCACCGCTGGTCACCACCACGCCCCTGGACCTGCTCAGCCTGCTGCTGGCCCAGCGCCAGGTGCAGGGCTCAGCTGGGGATGGAGCACAGGCGGAGGCGCGGCCACGCAGCTCCGGCCTCACACCGCAGACCCTCCGCAGACGGCAGCGCCCCTCTCTGCGTGACAACGCTGGGGGAGCCAGGTTCCCCCTCACGTCTGCTATAACCTCCCCCTTGACCACTTGTGCATGTGGCCAGGGGCTACCATCCCTTCCATTCTAGAAAATCCAGGGGTGTGTAGGTGCCGGAATCACCCCCGAATCACCCCAGCCAGTTAGGAAGACATCAGAGAGGGGAGCGGACAGTGGCTGAGGGGACAAGTGGCCCCCCTCTGTCCAGGAGGTGGAGCTTCTCACACTCCCATCTTTGACCCTGGCCAGCGGGGGAGCCAGAGGTGCCAGGGCAGGTGAAGCCACAGCTGGAAGCCGCTGGGCTGGAGTGTCAGTCTTCAAAGCAGCCACGGCGAGGGGCACGGCATCGGCAAACACAGACAGAGCCAAGGGCCATCATATACACATCTCTATATTTATATATTAGGTACAGGCACAGGCGGGCAGGGGCCCCGGGCTCTCCACGCCCCCACCTCCACTTCTGCTCACCCACACACAGAAGCAGCAGGAGTTAGATGTGGCAGCTTAGGGGGAGGGGGCTTAGGCAGGGCCCAGCTCCTCAAGGATATTAGCCCTTGAGCCTTAGGAATGTTCCTTGAGGGGAAATGGGTGGGGTTTGAATGAGGTGAGTGGGGCACAGCTGGCCCTGAGTCCCAACTCAGTGTGCCCTATCCCCGGCCGTCCCTCAGGAGGTGACAGGGCAGCCAGAGCCCTTCGATTCCAGAACCACCAGAGACTGGGACAGCTGGGGGAGAGGAAGGCAGAGCAGCTGAGGGGAGTCTGCTTTGGGGCCACCTGAGCCACAGGTCCTGTGAGGGGGAAGGGAGGGGGCCGGGGCCTGCCTGAAGCCGGAGGCCCGAGCCAGGCCAGGGAAG